ATACTGTGACGAAATACATTTTAAGAGGTGGTCAATTTTAGTTATTTTATATCCATGAAGGCTGTGGGAGATCTCGATGGTTGATCTCACATTAGAATTGCAAAAACACTAAACACACGCAGACGGGACTTGAAATTGTGACTGAAATATAAATTCGCACCTTCTTTACACCGAATGTCGTTATTTTTTTTATAGAAATGCAATCATTGTAGATATCTATTTTATTTTTAAATATTACAAGCTATATCATTAGTACAGATTTAATAATTCAAAATAGGTTATGATTTTTCTTTATGAAAATACATAGTGATCTTATATGAGAGAAATATGCTTATATAAAATATTCCATCATGTAAATAATTATAAAGTAAGTGTTTTATTTTTGTCATCAACTCCGTAACGAAGAAGGCTCATAGCAGTTAAACAAGTTTTAAATATCTTAGCAAAAATATTTGTATTAGTTTTTGCAATTGACAGGGCCAGATAAAGATTTTTATTTAAACAAGAATACTTGTTACTTTTCAAAATAGCAAAATATACCAGTTTGTTTTACCAAAGAACGTAAATTTTAATAATTACATAATTAAAAAAAAGACTATTAAATTATATAGCTAACTCTTATGAAACAAATTGGTAATATGCATACAAAGTAACTGAATTTCTTATGTGAGAACACAAGTGATCATTACACAGCGACAATATCACACCATAGCAAATTCAATATAAAGCGAATATGTCACGAATACAGACGCAAAGACTTACTATTTATGGTGTTTCTGAATGTTTACTGAAATAAAATGGAGTATACCTACTATGTAGATAGTTTGTTAACTAAATCTAAAACTATGATTAAGTGTTTACTATTTTTTGCATATTGCTTATAATATTTGTATAGTATGGGTAATCTGACCCACGAATTATTACAGGTATGCTTTTTTCTAATTACTACTTTTATCCAAATTTATATTATAAATAGGAAAGCATATCTGACCTTTTCACAACTAAATGGTTGAACTAATCTGAATATTTGGATTAAATAAAAATAATAATCCAGCATAATTTATAAAGCGTCCCAAATTAAGCAAACCTTGTGTAATAGGTTACTAGACTACTGATACTCTATATACTGACTATACATAGATATATATTTAATGGAATGAAATTTTATAGAAAAAAAAATAAAATTTTATGCAAATGTTCAGATTAATACAAATAATCATATTTATGAATATGTTTGTACCGAGTAGTCGTACCCGAGATCATTGCAGGTATAACGGTGTGCTAAACCGCTAGAGCACCCGGGCCGTTTTAATAAACTAGAAGATTTTTACAATAGGCCACCTACACTTTTATTAATGAGATCACTTAATGTCTATACATGTACAACGACCCCTCCGATTGATCCCCAGTCTAATTCAAACGGGGATCGAAATTACGACGGCCTGAGCCGAGGTTCGAACCATTAGCGGTGTCCTCAGACTATACATAGTATCCGTCAGGCGGGCGTTGGCCTTCTGTCGTTTCATAAGTCGTTCCGCGGATTTGTAGTGCCATCTGCACTCGCCCCCTATCGTCCGGTGAAGCTAAAGATCAGCTGCGGCCAACAGAATTCTCTAATTCTGCAGAATTAGAGTAGCTAAGTATGCTAAGAGTAGCACGACGTGGGGAAACTGCATTATTTAATAATATTATAATGCTATTCCATTTGTATAATATGTACATGTTATACAAATGGAATATTTACCATTAAATAATATTATAATGGTAAATATCCTTTTTGTATAATAATTATAATACACTAGTCATATCCATGTTATGTATGCCTGTGTATCCGATTTTACACAAACGTGTTTTGACACTAACCGCGTATTAAACCCGGTACGGCGAGCCAGCCTCAATGGCCCGGCAATATATAACACGTATATTTCGTACCGCGATGAATTTAAATTGTCGTCCCCAATTACGAGGCAATTTGTACAAAAAGCTGTTTGACGAATTCGCCGACTCTTCTCGAACTGTTTATTCATTTCTGTTTGGTCCATGTGAAAGGTATATCTTTTTAAATTAACAGAATAGTAGTTACATAATCCACTTGAATTTTTAGGTAGTAATTTTTATAAACTGTTATTTTACTTTTAGTATTTTTTTTTTAAATGTTACTATCTCTTTTAAACAAGTACTATCCCTGTAATTAAGAATCTTCTGTTTATGACAGTTGGATAAAAATTGAGATGCTATAAAATTAACAAACAAACACAATAAATAAACACTATTCACACTACCATATACCACCTGCCGCATTCCGTACATAGAATTTTTCAATACGACTATGTATATATAGTCTATGTACAAATTATTATACATTAACGATTATAAATTTGGCTATATTTATTTGTACATCTTTTAACAGATTTAAAAATGTTTGTCATACATTGTAGTTCGTTCATTTAAATATTATTAGGTATTATCCTGGTAGGTACATCGCGTGTAGGTAATAATTAGTATAATATATATTTGATTTTCAACTTTCATGGAATAGCAGACATACTGACAGCCCATCTGATGGTAGTGGTACCCGTCTACTATATATAGATATAGATATATATGTGATATATATATATGGCATTCATATAATATGTATTTTATATGAATAGAACTACAGATATCGTTTTGAATCATGTGACGCCTGTGGTACCACTTACGCGTTGCCATTCCAGAGGACTACAGCCTCGTATCTTGAGTTTTCACTATCTATTTCACCTTTCAATCGTAATACAGCTTCCAATGTAAGCTATATGGTTACTGAAATGATGATACTAAAATTTCCTAATCTCGACACTTAACATTTGTGAGTGAGTGCGTTGATGTCTTTTATATGAATTCATGAAGTTTACTTGCATTACTATTTAATTTGTTATTTATTTTATTAATTACAAATTATAAGTTAACTGTCAATTGATTAATTGTATTTTTTATTTATCTATGATGATCAGTCTAAATTTCGAAACATATAACGGCTGTAAATGTTAACGCATATAATAGTTAAAATATATTAGAAACAAATGAATGCTTATAAATATTTTATAACTATCTAGTAGCTTTATCTCTGTGACTGATTGTGCTACTTTGCCAAATAAATCGTTAATAAATTATTTACAACGCGTAACCGTCGCTTATTACTGTAAAGTATTTACTGTTTGAGTTCATTGAACCGTGATTAATCAAAACAGTTGCGTCTGTTATTTATTTTATCATCTGTAATTATTTCAGTGGTATATTTGTAATTTTTGTTTTAGATATTTCAGATACAAAGAGATTCTGTTTTATACTTTCTTTTCCGTGACTTCGTCTGCTTTTTGTGATAAAATATGGGCTATATCCGTTCTCGTTTTGTATCTATTTTTATGGCAAACATTAAGAACCGATCTCGCGTGAAAAATTGACGAACCTACAGTCAGACATAATTTTTCACGTTCAAAATGGCATGTATATGTGTATATTTTTATATTTGCTTAATAATAGGTTTTGGCATTATCTTTTTCGATCTTGACACATACTTAAAGCGTTAGTTAGCCAAATGCGTGACAGACTGACAGGTCTACCTATAACAAATAGCATACAAATATTTTATATATACCGACACCGTTACGTTAATCTGAGGAATTCCAACAAAAAACAATGATAAATTGCATTTCAAGTGACAATAAACTAAATTCTAATCTTTAATTAGCATTAGCTAAGTAACAGTTATTGATGATATTTACTGGTTCGTGTATACATAAATATCTTTTGCTCTTCTAGTTCAAATGAGTGCAAAAAATATGTAGTTATCAAATATTCAAAAATAAAATAAAGTTCATGTAACATTATTTTTATTAGTGTATCCATTGCAAACAATAAGTTACATCTTTCTTTTTTAATAATGATTGCGATTTTTAAGTAATACATTTGTTGGAAACTGTATTTTTTAATTCTGTAACATGGCAACACTTTTTCAATCTCTTGTAACGGGACGATGTGAATACAGGAATACATAAGCCGCCTATCAATTTATTTATTTTTTATTACCAAGACTATTATAATAGTACTATCATCAAGAAAATCTACAATATTAAAAACAAAAAAATATTTTTTCTTTTTTTTTCAATAATAATTGTGAAATAATTCATAGATATATAAAATATGTAAAAGTAACACCAAGTGCTTTTGTCATATGTCTGTTTGAGTGATAGGTTAAATTTATTATTATTATTGAAAGTATTAAAGATGGTCTCAGTGGTATAGCGGTTAGTTACTGCTTTACTTTTTATTGGTCTCGAGATCAACGCATCGCTATCAGGCTTATGTATATACTTATAAGGAATACACTAATCAATAGAAACAAATATACTTCCATACTACTATTGTCAATGCTAAAATGTCTATCTATGTATTTGTTACCTTTTCATGACGAAACGGCTGAACGGATCTTAATGAAATTTGACATTAATGTAATTATATCATAAAGATGGGAACAGGTTCTATTTTATCTGATCTCCAGAATGAAGTGTTGTGCAGACGAGCTAACGGTTTACAGCAGCTAGTATTTCTATAAGGCTTATGCATGTCACGTGATGCATTTACCGAAACATCGAGTGTTGATATAGCCTCTGGCTATTCCATTTGAGATATCAGTCCTTAATGTCCTTGTCAATTAATACCTATACAAATAATATTAAAAATACCCCTGGACAGTTCACACAACGTCATTTAGTCCCATGGTAGGCAGACCTTGTATTATGGGTACTAGACAACTTATAAATACTAAGATTTTGTTTTCTAAATACGTACATGTGAGTGTACAGCTGGGGTGTTTCCTATGTATATTACATAGGAAACACCTAGACCAATATAATAATCATATATACAAATGTTTGTACCATGGATGGAATCGAACCAGCGACCATCGGAAGTAAAGCGGAATGCTAAACGCCGTCATTGCCATATAATCTAATACTCACTGAGTTCAGTATCGCAGTCCGTGTATTCGTGATTGCAGTCGACCGTGTAGCCAGCAGCGGCGGTGAGCAAAGCCGCCGCGCACCACAGTGCTACCACGCCGGTCCACATTGTCATCACCGCAGACCCATCTGCAACCAAAATATAAATAAATAAATAATAAACTCACAAGATATGCTCTGTCTGTCCAGAACTACAGTAAGTTCTATATTAGAACGTGCATCTAAAGCTACATAAGCAATTTCTTATCAGATTTGGGCAGACAGGGAGACCCTAGCGGTGAAGGTGAGTGTACTTCGACAAAGGGGTCTCTTAAACCTACACCCGGGTCAGATGTCCCGGGAACTGCTCGAAATTTCCCTACCACACGATGGACCGGCGAATCCGTGGAGAACTTGTGTTATGGGTACTAGGTAACTATTATTATGTAATAATATGTTATATCTGGTATTACGAGTAAATTAAATATATATATATGATAAATAAATATATTTTCTTATAATCGCAAAAAGCTGGCAACATAGCTAATGTCTAATTTGTCTCAGAAATAAAAAACACACTTTGAATTTTTTTTATATACATACATTGCATTGCATTGCATATCATACATACTTGCATACTCATGTGTACAAGTGTTTCTATAGCGTGAAGATTCGAACCCACGATCCACGATCATCGCTATTAATGCGGTGTTCTGTAGCACATACATAAGTAATATATAATCTCACAGGACATTGAGATGACTTCATTAATTTTACCTGCTAGCAATCGGATCATTTTGTGGGAGATAGATATTTCAGTAGCGCAATACTTAGTGGTTAGACACAAGTGTGGTTAATTATGAAATGATTATTAGAATAATCTGTATATTATTATGTAAATATGTTACTGCGACTTGTCTATGTGCTTACGAATATTCAAATCAAATAATTTATTTGCAGAATATAGTGCTCATAGGTTTTAACAATATTATATTATGTGTATTCAGATTGCATACAGGTGTACAAATTTTTGTTTTTTAAGAATGGATTATATGACAATAGAATGGTGCACTTCCTGCGCTAACGGCATATGTTGGCGGGGCACCAGAGAAGGATTATAAGATGAATATGAGGTCAAGTCAGTTAGCCCGTGGCAAACTCACCAGGAATTTAACGTGATGGTTTCCAGGAGAACCGTGTGGAGGTCAACCTGACATGGTACATTGCTAACGTTGGGCTTATTAATCCATGTTACTGACAATTAATGGTAATAGCTACATACCAACCTACCTAGTGTAACATGCAGTCAAAGTCGTGCGATTAAGTATTGAATAATACACGATGAAAGATGATTCACTTGTCCTTCATTGATCACCGTAATAAGGACCATTGTTCGATCATTGCTGTATCCGAATACCATATTAAAATTAGATGTCGCTTTCGTACAAGGTCGGTACCTGCTGTGTATAAGAAACGTGAGAACTAGTACTTATAAATTTAGAACTTCATTGTGATTTATTATCCATTGATTGGCAATCGATGTTGAAACACATGTTATCTTTTTACTTTCAATTTGAAGTTCTTTAGGTACTACGATAGTTGATCATATAGTTTAGAATAAATCAGAATAGGTATGTCATTATATAGGATAATCTGTCCGTTTATTTCATGCATACAAATAATCTTTTGTAAATTAAACTTGAAGACAGGTTAGTTCACCAAGTAGTAAATACCAATAATATAAGTTATGTTATATATAAAATAAGATTTTAAGTCTTTCCTACTATAGTAGGAAAGTTGAGTTATAACTCAGACCAACGTTTAACAATATTAACCTATAGTTTTGGGCAGGAAATAACCCTTTTATTCAACAGTAAATACAATAAATTAACAGATGAGTTAACAGATATATTATCTACACCAGATTACCTATTTGTATCAGACAATCACAACATCCAATGTATATTTTTACTTTTTTTTATAATATCTCTCCGAATTATGATCAAGAATATTACTTCTCTACATTTCGTCACACTTTTCTACGTGTCTTCTATACATTTTTTTAAAATATTTATGGTATTTTTATGCCTTTATGTACACAACTGCAAATGTACCTAAAATGTTTACAGAATGTTGAAGGGAACTGGCTTTCGTGGCACCGGTTCACCTATGTCGTAAGTTAGGGATAACTGTATTTGATTGTATCGTACTTAGATTATTATTATTATTCCAAATAATAAAAAAATATATGATGTGTATATTATTACCGCAGCTTGTCATATAAGGTAGGGTTGACTACTAGGGTACTAGACCCCGTGGACGATTACCCATGCGATGGACCGACCAAGTCAAAGCAGTAATAGGCGATCCACTCCACGACTGTACCAGAATGGCAGCCAGTAGAGACAAATGAAGAGCTGTCGTACGGCAGATGACATCAGGCCACCCACTACTACATTATGACCACGACCGTTCTGTCAAGAACGTATTGAATAAGAATAAAAATATTATTATCATTTAATACTATAGATGTAGGATTTAGCGAGCCAACCCATGTCTGCTGTACAAATCTTAGATTCTCTTATCTGTGATAATATCAAATTATATATGACAGCATATATTATGCCATATTTTAAATCATGTAGTCTGCGAATATTTCAGACAATCACTGAGAACATTTTATAAAAATGGAACATAACTCTAAACTCCAAGGGTTATTGGCTTATCTTTTAATAAATATGCAAAAATACTAGACTATTAGACGCCAGTATGATTACTTTCCCTGCATGACGTTTCTTATGCGAAAGTTTGCATGTTTTAAAATTTCTTTACATAATATTATCATTAACAAAACTAGTTTTTATATAATACTGTGGAAGTTTAGATGATTTTTTAAATAATTGCCGTAAGAGATAGCCGCCAAAATGCATTTTTTTCTTCTTCGATTATTTTTACCAATATTTCTTAATTATTTTAAATTCAGTCTTTTGTGTGAGTCTCATACAAAAAGCTTGTTTTAAATTAATATTGTATGAATATGTAAAACAATGCATTTATTTAATATATTTATTGATGTAGAATCAACTTTGATTCTACATCAATAAATATATTAAAAACTAAATAAATATGAATGTTAAATTTATATATTTACGGCCTCGATGGTCTAGTGGTTCAATACATCGTCTAAATTCCGATGGTCGCGGGTTCGATTCCTTGTAAGGCACAAACATTTATATTCATGAGTATGATTGTTTGTATCGGTCTGGATGTTTTATATGTATAATATGTAATAATAATAATTCACCAAAAAAAAATGTATTTGTATCAGTTATCAAGTACCCATAATACAAGCTTTAGCTAGCTTAACTTGGGTCTAGATGGCGCTGTGTGAATTGTACTGAGATTATTATTATTATATGTATCATTTTCTATTTATAAACTACAATTAACAAGTCACTTGTATTTAAACCTCTTGCTGATTTTCTACTCAAAGTATCCAATCTCGTTACTTTGACACAACATTTACCCATTCCTAATTCTTTTGTTTTTTAACAAAAGCAGTTAACAGTTAACACATTTGCAGGCATTGTGCAGACACACGCGGCTAAGTCGTAAATCTGCTATTAAGGTAAAAGAAAGTAAGTTATTCAACTTTTACAATAGGATTATTGTGGCGACACAGCCATTGGAAGCTTTCTTCCGCTCTAACTATCATTCTACCACATCAATCTGTTTACTTATAACTGGTCTATATACTAATATTAGTCGTATAAAGATTTTCTTTGTAATTAATAATCAAACAAAAAATACTTAGCAAAATATATTATCTCCTTTCTTGTAAAAACCAACAGCGAACCAAATAATAATTGATATGTTGTTAAAAATAAAGCCAATTACACATTTTGAGTATTCCAACGCACTATGTATATAGGGCAAATATAAAAAGAACCTTTTACCTAAAAAACTACAGTCTAACCGAGTGGGCTTGCGTATTTTTTTAGTATTTTATAATATAAATATTTAATAAAATAGAGATAATTTTAATTGCTGCACCCGTGTTGATGATTGATGAATGACAATGGAATGTTACATTCGTTAGAGTAGCCCCAGTGTAGGATGCCGGATGTCAAGCAATTTTCAATGAAAATAAAATTTAAAATTTATTCACTATAGTTTTTAAGATGGACCGCGAAAGTAAACATGACACGATATGACTCAAAATTATATCACTTGTTGCCATTGCTAAAAATCCATCTCCCCCTTGGGGTACTCTATTAGGCGTATAAAATTTTGTAAGCTCTTGTATAGAGTTCTATGAATGAAGAAAGAACAATAAAATTACTTCAATCATAAATGTATGTAAATGCACAAAATTTATGTGTATATTTACGTCGTCGTTCAAACTAATATTAAATTCATGTCATGTGGGTGTTAGAATATTAATCTTTCAATGTTAATACTTAACAATTAAGGAACATACAAACAGATTATACTTATAAAACATATTTATTTAATATTTTACCTGTTTCATTTCTTTATTTAGTTGTGTCTACAATTAGCCGACCTACGCTTGATTTAGGATTAACTATGTCGATATAGAATGCCATACTGTAAAAAATAAATATCTATATTCCTTTATAAACAAATATTTCGAACTACAGTGCTTGTAAATTTTGTAATGTACTATTTTACAACAAAATAACTAAGAAATATAAAATACTGAATTGGAAAATGTGTTTATCTGCCTGTATATTAAGTTGAAACGACTAATCGGATCTTTATGACATTCGATATTAATATATATTGTATCACCAGGACGGATAACGCTTTTATCTCACAAAAAGAGGACGAAGTCGCATGCAACAACTAGTTCCTAAGAATTGATATATGACTACCGCTAAATCATAGCTAATGATTTAGCGGTATAGCACATGGCCTTACTTCCGATGGTCGTGGATTCAATTTCTCGCACAGTAGATACAAACATTTCTATTCATGGATATGATTATTGGTCTGTATATTTCCTATGTATATTATTTGCATGTATTTACCAAATAAATGTACAGCACATGGCACTATATGAATTGTCTTTGGGTTATTATTATTGTTTATACATAAAGTATGTATTACGTTCATTGTAAATCCGATAT